GGAGGCTTTTTCAACCCCAAGCCTGCTTCCAGTGACCTACCTTCTGGCCATCCTTCCTCAAGCAGCCACTGAGGAGGGACCAAATATTCAAATTCAAAGAGCCTATGGGGCTCTTTTCATCCAAACTACTATAGCACAGGAGGTCTATAGTGTAATTGTTATTGACAGAGCCCCTCATATGTATGGGCACCATAAGTTACTTTTCTGGAACTGAGCTAGTTTTTCATATTGGTCTTAAAAGTTACTTGAAAACACTGAATATTCTTTAGCTGAATGTACAATAATTATGATATCAGAACTCACTGTAACATGAACTTCTTACCTTAATCATAGTGTTGCATTTACTCACTACTGAATTTAATGACTAATAAATAATTTATTGATTAAATGAGACCAGATGTGTTTGCACATGCGTGTAAGCTTAGAGCTTAGGATGGTGAGATAGGATGACCATGAATTCCAGGCTACTCTCCGCTGTCTTTAAATAAATACATTGATACCATGCACAATATATGAGAACAATATGTTTCATTTAAAATTATATATATCATTTCATTTAAATCATAAATCATTAAGAGTTCAATTATAGTTTTATTTTACCCAACTTTAATAATACATAAATATTAAGGATCAAGTATAAAAAGTAGGAATTAAAATAAATCTTCTTTAGTTAATATTTAAAAATAGTCTCTATTGCTAATAAATGATATGGTCTTTAATTGTAATTAAGTTTCTATTGAAGTTTATGGAATCATAGCATATCTTAATATTGGAAAGAAAGTGAATGTTGAAAATTGATTAATAAGCCAAATGCAGGTATTTTATAGTTCTCTTGAAACAATTCTAAGTAAACATAGAATAAAAACATTATAAGTTTAAAGCTTTTATTTTATTTATTTATTTTACTGTGCTCTCTGAATTTATAATCTCTCTTTCTTTTCCAAGGCCAGTTCACAGAACAGCCCATGAACACAGCATTGTTTTGAGTATGCTGAAGAAAATTCCCGAGTTAGTCTCTCAGCTCAGTGGTGAACATCTGAAAATCATTAGTAAGAAAGTCTTTTCTGAAACCTGGATAAAAGGAAGCACAGGTACTTGACTAATGTGGGGCATGTAGCAGATGAAATTCATACACCGATGTCAAAGAGGCTATTGTTAAATCCTTATTATTTCACTTGACATGCAAAAACACATTACTTACATATAGTCCACTTTCAAATAATGCTATTTAAGTAACACTCACATTTTAGAAAGATTTATAGCATATCCCTGTGTAATTGCACTTTGAATAAATATCCAAATTACTCATAGTACCCCCTGAGAAACAATGGGCTGAATTCCTTAGACTTCTGGTTTATCAGGTCTGGGATAGGGCCTAAAATATATTTACAATAATCTATTGAGGATAGCAATGTGAGATACAAATGTAGTAGCAACCCAGTGCTATGTTTCAGAGTTGAATATTCTCTTGTCAAAGTGTTTGCCTGCCTAGTCCAGATAGAGCCCTAGATATTGGGAAAGGACTCCATAGACGTTATGTTTATCTTTAGCCTGTGTACAATGGCTATAGGAGCTACATCGTTAGAAATTCATCTGAATCTTTGAAGGGAAGGCATGCAAGACATATTCTTTGCATCATTAAAATTCCTCTTTTATTCCTTACAGGAACAAATTGATAGGTAGCATTATTGTTTGCAGGTGAGGATTCCTTAGGCATCAATATATAGGAATCCGGCTTGTAAATGAATTTTAAACACACTTCAGTCCAGCTCTGAAGTTTTCCTCCATTTTTGCCACTGTTTGTGAAAAATAGTTCATCAGGTACCTGACATTTAACATTAAATTAGAATCTTGGAGACTCATGACTTTTGAAAAGATTTACATATATTGAGAGTTTTGCCCCAATCATTTTCTATCATAATTGGTTCCATAAATTAGAGTCAAGTAACAGAAGATAAATCAAAAGAGTTTTGTCATGATTGAAATGATTTTAAAGAGGGAAAGAGAACAAATCTCCACTATTGCTTTGCTATTAGCTTGAGGATAGTAATTAAAAACTTCTGTGTTTTATAAGCTCTGAAATTGTATTTCTAAAGGGAAAGAGTACTGGAACAACTTAAATGCCCTTCAATAAAAGATTGGCTATCATCAGTTCAGTGAAACTGTAGTCGCTGGCTGTAAACAAGCATTTGTATATTCATGCATATGCATATCTATATCTATATCTATATCTATATCTATATCTATATCTATATCTATATCTATATCTATATCTATATCTATATCTATATCTATATCTATATCTATATCTATATCTATATCTATATCTGGAACTGTTATGGTTTTGGTGTGACTTGAATGGTTTACAATAACCTACTTGTCTAGCCTTGGCTCAATTAATGGTGGTGGGAGGCATTAGAACCTTTGGGAGGCAGATCCTTCTGGATGATTCTTTTAGAATATTTGGTTCTAAGGTATATATGTGCCATTCACTGAGGTCTTATAGCAAATTATGATATTGGTAGCAAGCAATGTTGGCCCTGTTAATCTTACTCTCTTTGCTCCTGTTGGATATTTGATAGATTCCTACTGTCACTCATGCCACAGTGTATCCTCTCTATATGACTTTGTCAGTAGCCAAGAAAATGGGATATGTGATATGACTTGTACTTACCATGGGCTAAATGTACCCTCTTCTATTAAAAAGTCAGAGAGCTATTATAAGCGGAATAAAATCAAATAATCTATTTCTTCCACGTGTATGGACAGGATAATTGTCCCCCAATAAATTGAGTCATATGAAATATAATTAGAGATTTATATTTTTCAAATTGAGAACAAACATGTTATTCTGATGTCATAAAGATACTTATTAACATAAAAATGTTAATAAGATACCAAGTTTTAGTTGATTATATGACATAAAGAATTTCAACTTGCATCTTCTAGTCCTTTAAAAATTTATAAGCCTTTGATTTATAAGCCTTTGTTTTTCTTAACCTACCCATATCCAGATCCTTTGGAGTTTTTAGGACATGTAGTTCTAACAGCTCAGATGTTTCCCTAGCAAAGTGTCAGCTCATTAGATACACAACCTTTGTAGTTCTCTTTGTTTATTCAGCTTAAGAAAAAGGCCGATATATGTGTCTGCTCTCACCATTTACTTTATTCATGTGTGTGCTTTTTACCCTCTGTCTGCTGTGATTTAAAGCATTCCCCCATGCAGCTCCTTGTCCCCAGGCTGCTGGCTTTCAATCTGCCACAGAGGCTCACTTCTCTAGTGTAATTCTGCACAGCTGTTTGTGCCTTCTGCTCTTTTTATATGGCCATTAGGTTTGTTGAGTTGTATTATTTAAGGAAGTTTCCTAAATTTACCATTAGCCATATAGCCTCTTAAACATTCAGTTCCTACAAACTATTAATAAACAGGCAATATTATGACTTAAGTAAATGAAACATATAAATGTTTCTAAGTAACCATGGAATTATGCATGCTATCTTATTACTATACAATGACTATACTTAAAGATCATTTATATTAACTATCAAAATTACTGAAAATATGGGACAGAGGAGATGGCATTCAGTATAAATCATGCATTAGGTATTGATCTGAAATCTTGTTCCAGACTAGAGATAAATTGCATGATGTTATTGCATGATACTCCACAGAGGCAGTGAGAAATTGTTGCCAGAAAGCCTGTTTTTTATTTCTTTTTTTTTTCTTTGCAGTGTAGTGGTGTTGTTAGGCTATCATGCACATGGGATAGGTGTTTTAAATGAACTTTTTACCTGATTTATTCTTTGAATTTATGTGACCTTTTCATAAACTGAGAAGCATTTGTAATAATAAATACTTTAAATATTTCCATCTGAAACTAAAGTTGAGGGATTCTGTTCTAGTACCAATCCCAACAGCAATAGGATATACTATTTGGGAATGGATTTAATCAAAAACTGCAAGACTCATGTATTAAAAGCAACAAAACAGCTTTGGGTGTGATATTTAAATATCTAAGTAAATAGAAATTCACTTAATAGTCATACTTTAAAGAACTAATATTGCAATAAATAAGTTAACATATGGATCAAACACAATAACTGGTACAAGCACCAGATGTCTTTTTATAGAAGTTGATAAACTAGTTTTAAAATTCATATGGAAACTTAGATCATTCAGAGAAATCCAAACATTATGGAAAATAGGTAATGAACCAGAGGGCCCACACATATCTATTTCAGAAGCCACTACAAGTATCTTTAGTATCAAAACTATACTATCAGTATATATGCAGATATGTTGATCAATATATAATATTAAGTCCATAAATAGTAACTTAAGTTTCTAGTTTATTTTTAGATCATATTTTTAAGATAGTCCAGTAGTCAAAAGAAAAGTCTTGGGGGAATATTGCTTGGTCAAGTGTATTCATGTAATTAGTAATAATGTATATATAAGTGCTAGGCCAAAATGGTTCTAAGACAAAGTGGAGAAAGTAAAACTGTTAAACTTTTGTGGTGATACATTATTTAAAATTTATTAAAGTTTTACTGAGGGTTCAGAAAGCAAAGCTAGTCACAAGCCATAGGGGTCAGACAATGGTGTTTTACAACTTGAATCCCAGTAGCCATACTAGCAAGCCATAGAGGCAGGCAGTGGTGGCATACACCTTTAATCGCACAACTCATGAGACAGGCAGATGGATCTCTCTGAGTTCAAGGACACTCACATATACAAAAGTAAAGAGTAACAGAGCTGAGGCCTGTAATCCCAGCATTTGGAATCACATGCCTTTAATCCCAGCACTAGGGAGGTGGAGATGGGGGTTATAGAGCTGGGAGGAGAAGTGATATAAAACAAGACAAGACAGGACCTCAGAGTTTTTGTCTCTGAGGGTTCATGGAGACAGTATTACCATTTCAGCTTGGTAGAGGTAAGATCTACTGGCTTGGCTGCTTTGCTTCTCTGATCTTTGGCTTGAACCACAATATCTCTCCCTGGATTTTTATTATTTGTTTTACAAACCTTTAAATTACTGATTAATTTTCAGTAACTATAGGTTATAAATGGCTTATAAATGACAAAAAATTTGGATAATTTGCACTATGTAGAAATTAAAACACTTTGAATATCAATGAAAACAAGAAGCCAAAATGCGGTGGTCCAAAGCATCATTTGAATATCGAAGATGTAGCATGGCCTCCATGTAGTCCCTCTAGCCTTTGCTTGCTCAGCTCCAACAATGTAGAAGACTGGCTTTGGGACATCTACTGCTTTGTCTCTTGGTGGAACAGTTTCTCAAAAAACTTGATTGTGATTTTGAGACTCTACTTTGGGGATTTGTCAGGACTGATTATCTTGACCTAATAGAATCTCAGCCAGATGTATAAACAAATAGACAAACAGAACCACTGTGTTCTGTTTGGGGGAACCAGACTTTCCCCCAAAATATCACATAATCAGTGACCAAAAACGAAGATTAAAACCAGCTTAAGTATGATTCAAATGGACATTACCTCTTCACTGCACAGCTC